TCCTAAAGGCCACTTAGAAAATCACTAAACCAGCTACCTGTATGGCAGTATCCTCGTTTATCCAGCTTTTATCAAACGTACCATATAAAAATATCAATCAAAGGAAATGGTGGCCAACATTCAGCGACTCGGTTTTTGGAGCTGCTCCTGCTCCTCTGAACTGGGTCTCTTCTTGGGCCAGTACTAAGCTACCTTACAGTAAAGGATTTGAGTTTTAAGCATTTTCAGCAAAATCATTTCCTTCTTTACAGCAACATAGATGGTAGGAAGACACAAACCTTGGAGCAAAATACAAATTTTGTATTTACCAGTCAAGGGTTCTTGGATAAAACACAATCCCCACACTTCCATTCTCTCATTCATAAAGTTGAGAAATTTTATCGTAGTGAGGGATTTGCCTAAGCTAAGCTGCAACTACATAGCCTCCACGCTTTTCCAGTCAATTTCAGGCATTCTTTCCATTGTTTTCTTTCATCCTGTTTCTGCTATATGACAATGCATAACACACACATACACGCACGTGCACACACAGACACACACAGACGCATGCACCAGCAGGCATTCTTCCTCCCTTTCCCTCACCTTGACCTGCAGATGCTCCCTCATCCTCTCCCTCCTGAGCAGGTGCAGGATCCTGACATTAAGCTGCTGGTTCCCCTTCTTCAAGTTCTGGTGGTTCCACTTCTTCATCACTGAACTGCTCGGGCTGGGGAATATGTGTGGGTGTGTAAATTAAAAAAAAAAAAAAGTTTTGCTATTGATACAAAATTTTACATATATACACAGAATACATAGCTATTTCTGATCATAACTAAGCCTAAAGACATTTCTCCAACTCTATTCTCTATGCCCAATAAGGTTACTCTACCCACAGGGAGGTTACTGTGAGAAAAGTGATGCACAAGGACTTTGGAAGCTATTATATTCTGTGTTGGAATACATGTGTACGATCCGTCATTAACAAACAAAACATGAGAAGTCATGGGCAAAAGCTGAAGAACACGAGAGGAAAAACAAAAAATCCTCCAGAATCAACGTTTCCTTCATGAGACGCCATAATCATGTTTTATCAGCAGGAAAGACGTTTCTCAGCATTTCCATACTAATGCAACAACACTATCGCAAAAATTAATTTCTGCTAATAGAAAACATCGAATTAACGTTTAAGCACTCACCAGCATAGGCCCAATCATTTCAGGAGGCTCTACATAGCGTCTTGGTCTACGCCGATAGGTCGATCTTCCTCACCAACTCATATTTCACACTGAAAACAGACAACCGTGATTGGGAACATGCGCTCCAGAGGGCTGCTATATTCGATCACTTCCATGGATCAACGTTAACTTGTCCTTTTAATTTTGAAAATACTCTCAAAATAAGTCCCAGAGTGAAGCATACGTGTGTACGTTTTCTGAGTGTCTACAAAGCCACTTATGCTGGGCAAGCTGGCAGAGCAATCATCTTAAGAAGTGTGACAAAAGGCAGAGGGCATTTTTTCTAAATTTCTTTTGGTCCCGCGGTCTCCCTGTGTTGCTCTGGCACAGTGCAGTGGCACGATCACAGCTCACTGCAGCCTCGACTTCCCACTCAAGGGATCCTCCCACCTCAGCGTCCCGTGTAACTGGGACTACAAGCGCAGGCCACAGTGCCCCACTGACAGAGGGCATTTCTGATGAGGTTTAGTTTCACAAGTGGAATCCACATGAAAACACTAGTGAATCATAATTCTCGTGATTGCTACTTTTGGAACACTCCCACTTACTAGAGCCATTCACCCCTCTCAAATCAAGTTTGGTTGGACCACACAGCCTCGCCCAGTCCTTCCCACTGTTTCCGGACCTTCCATGGCAGAGGTGAGACCTTGCGACGCCTCTCACTCGGAGGCTCCGCACTCCACAAAGCTTGGGGGCACTCACCAGCCCGCAGCCTTCCCAGGTGCCAGCTCCCTTCTTTACTGCCCTCCTCGCACCCGCCTGGAGCCTCGTTCAGGGATCTGCCCTGTGTCCGGGGTTCCTGGCACCTCCTGACTTCCAGCCCTCTGACAGCACAACCAGCAATCGCCCCTTCTACTCCTGAGCCCTTGACCTCCTCCCCTTCATGGCCCACCTTCCTCTCTGTCCTGGCCCCTTCACAACCACAAAGCTGATGGTGGCCTCGCAGCCTTTGAGAGAAGGAGGACGACCTCGAGGCCCTTCTCTTTCAGAGGTGAGGAACTCCCTCCCTTTCAGAAGACTCGAGGCCCTTCTCCCTCAGGAGCTACAAGGCCCTTCTCCCTCAGAGGCCACAGACCATGAGCAGGACCCGACAGACCCACCCGAAGCACACTGCCAGCTCTTCAACCTCACTCACACTTCAGCCCCCAGGATGACTGGCCTGCAGACCTACCAGATGAATCTCAGTAGAGGAAAAAGAGTCCGGACAGCAGGAACAAGACCACACACCCTCACAGCTCCCTAGCGTTCTCCACCTGGGCAAAGCAGCGGAGCGGAAGACGCCCAGTGAACATGCGCACTGAGACGGGAGCCAAGGAGCATGCGTGGCTGTGGGCCGGGGAGGACTGCAGTTCCCAGCCCCGCAACCCAAACCCCGGATTCCCATCCCCACTGAGGATAATGGAATCCGACCTCCCTCTGCTGTTTCCTATGCCTCTGGGACTCAAATACCTCAAGTAGTGCTCCCCTCAAAACTCATTCCATCTTCAACTAAACCCCTCTCCCCTCCAGGGCCCTCTTTTGCCCTGGCCCCACCATGAGGACAAGAACCATGGTGACTGCCTGGGAAGACAGGTAGACCACCTGCGAAAACAGAAATAGCAACCTACTCCAAAAAGAAATTGTTTAATATGTGAACAAGTCAGAGAAACAGACTGAAAGAAAAATGAATACAACCTCTAGGACCTGTAAGAAAATACTAAAATGGTATCATTTGCAGCATCAGAATCACAGAAAGAGAAGTGACAGTATTAGAGAAACAGGACAGACAGAGTGACACCATGTGAAAGTCAACTCCATCTTGAAACTAGCAAGACACATTCCTTACCAGTCACAACCCAGGGTCCTAAGATGTTTGGAGTTGAGAAAACAGACAAAAGGTACCTCCAAGGACATGCTCCCACAGCAGCCGAAACTGCAGGGATCCCAACACCCATAACAGTATATGCTTTCAACATAATTATGCTTTCATGGACTTACACACTGGAAAGTCAAGGATAGTTGTCTTTAAATCAATAGAATGATAAATTTCATCATGCTCTTAGCCCACCCACACAAAGGTACAGGTAAGTTTAGTCTTTACATAGATATGACCCCTATATAAGAAAAACCGGCCAGGCCACGGCTCACGCCTGTAGTACTAGTATTTTTGGAGGCTGAGCTGGGCAGATCACCTGAGCTCAGGTGTTCGAGATCAGCCTAAGCAACATGAGAAAATCTCATCACTACAAAAAAAAAAAAAGAAGAAGAAGAAGAAAGAAAAATTAGCTGGGCATGGTTACATGTACCTATAGTCACAGCTACTTAGGAGGTTGAGGTGGGAGGATCACTTGAGCCAAGAAGGTCAAGGATGCAGTGAGCTCTGATGACACTACTGCACTCCAGCCTGGGTGACAGAATAAGACCCTGTCTCAATTTTTAAAAATAGAAAATAAAAATGTACAAAGTTATCTATCTAATTAACTACATTAACAGATGAATGGGAAAAAAATACTGTGGTAAACAAAATAGATGCACTGATGAAACTCAACATATATTCAAACGAATACTGTCAGCAAATTTACAACAGAATGGAATGACTTACTCTGATAAAGCCCGTCTACAAAAAAAAAGGACAGTAAATATGATGGTGAAATGGTGAAATGTTTCCGTTTCTCATCAGGGATAAGACAATGGATGTCCACTATCACCATGGTAACAGGTGGGTCTGCGCAATGCCATAAAATCAGAAAAGGAAATAAAACTCTTTTTTTTTTTTTTTTTTTTGAGACGGAGTCTCCCTCTGTAGCCCAGGCTGGAGTGCAGTGGCCGATCTCAGCTCACTGCAAGCTCCGCCTCCCGGGTTCACACCATTCTCCGGCCTCAGCCTCCCGAGTAGCTGGGACTACAGGCGCCTGCCACCTCGCCCAGCTAGTTTTTTGTATTTCTTAGTAGAGACGGGGTTTCACTGTGTTAGCCAGGATGGTCTCGATCTCCTGACCTCGTGATCCGCCCGTCTCGGCCTCCCAAAGTGCTGGGATTACAGGCTTGAGCCACCGCGCCCGGCCGGAAATAAAACTCTTTAAAATGATAGCACCGGCCCAGCGCAGTGAGGGCCTGTAATCCCAGCACTGTGGGAGGTGAGGCGAGTGCATCACTTACACTCAGGAGTCCAAGAACAGCCCGGGAAACATGGCAAAACCCTGTCTCTACAAAAAATACAAAAGGAAAAACAAAGAAAAATGGCAGAAACAAAATTGCTCTTATTGAAGGATGATATGATTCTGTATGTTGAAGATTGAAAATGATCTAGAAGTAAACTTTTAGAATGCATAAGCATATTTCACAAGGCTGCTGGATAGAAAATCAATATATAAGAATAATGTCTCGCCCGGGCGCGGTGGCTCACGCCTGTAATCCCAACACTTTGGGAGGCCGAGCGGGTGGATCACGAGGTCAGGAGTTCAAGAGCAGCCTGGCCAAGATGGTGAAACTCCATCTTTACTAAAAATACAAAACTTAGCCGGGTGTAGTGGTGGGCTCCTGTACTCCCAGCTACTCGGGAGGCTGAGGCAGAAATTGCTTGCATCCAGGAGGGGGGGTTGCAGTGAGCAGAGATCATGCCACTGCACTCCAGCTTAAACAACAGAGTGAGACTCCGTCTCAAAAGAGAAAAAAAGAAAGAAAGAAAAAAAAAGAATGATGTCTGTACACACAAACTCAGTTAGAATGTAAAATTTCAAAGAATGATACGTATCTCACAGCATCAAAAACCTAGAAATAAAATTCACAAAAGATGTACAAGACTTCTTTGCAGAAGGCTGTAAAGCTTTATTGGGAGAACTTTAATGAACAAATTTCCAACACAGGAGCAGCCTGCATCATTTCAGCGTGTCTTCTTTTAACTCTGTGATTGCTTTTCACCTGTAACAGAAACATAACAGTTGGAAACATGACTTAACAGCAGTTTATCTATATGATTCTAAAGGCATGTAGAGCCCGCTACAGTTTGGGTTTTATTAAATAGACTAAAAACAGAACCGTAAGGGTGATCCTGTGTCTTACATCCAATTAAACCTCTGTATACACTTTGAGGACAGACCTCCAGAATTTAAAGGTAATTTCTTCCCTATATATCAAGTACCTCCTTTAAATTCAAAAGCACTTATAATGAATGGTCAGCAATTTGGAAAACACATATGTAAAACATATTTCAGTTGATTACTCAGGAAGGACTAAGGTCATGGTCTTTGGACTTCAAATCTTATCAACTCATGTCTCAAAATCTGAAACTTACATGTAACATTTGATATGGCTAGAAGTGATTATATCACTCTATCCACTGTCTTATTAGAAATAGTGGCTCGTGCAGACTGACTGTGGGGGCAGAGAGTGTGCTTAGCACAGGCATCTTACTCACACCCATCCTGAGCATCACTGACCTTCATGCCACAGAAAATAGAAACTAAACAATCTATCACCTTTTGATCATTTACTCACTCAAGGTTTCCTTTGTGAAAGATTTAAAAAGCAATTATTTATTAAGAGCCAGAGAATCCCAGCCTGGGCAACATAGTGAGACCCCATCACTACAAAACTTTTATTAAAAAAACAAAATAAATCAGGCACGGTGGCTTGTGCCTGTAGTTCCAGCTACTCAAGAGGCTGAGGTAGGACGATCACTTGAGCCTGGGAGTCAGAGGTTGCAGTGAGCTGAAGCTGCACCACTGCACTCCCGCCTGGGCAACAGAGTGAGACTCTGTCTAAAAAAAAAAAAAAAAAAAAAAAGGCAGCAATAGCAAGATGGCCAAATAGTAATACCTCTGGTCTGCAGCTCCCAGCAAGATCAAGGCAGAAGCTGGGTGATTTCTGCATTTCCAGCTGAGGTACCCGGCTCATCTCACTGGGACTCATTAGACAGTGGGTGCAGCCTGTGGAAGGTGATCAGAAGCAGGGTGGGGCATTGCCTTACCGGGGAAGCACTAGGGGTCGGGGAACTCCCTCCCCTAGCCAAGGAAAGTCATGAGGAACTGTGTTGTGAGGAACGGTGCATCCAGGCCCAGATACTATGCTTTTCCCATGGCCTTCTCAACCTGCAGACCAGGAGATTCCCTCCTGTGCCTACGCCACCAGGGCCCTGGGTTTCAAGCACAGAACTGGGTGACCATTTGGGCAGATATGGAGCTTGCTGCAGGAGTTGTTTTTCATACCCCAGTGGTGCCTGGAATGCCAGGAAGACAGAACCATTCACTCCCCTGGAAAGGGGGCTGAAGCTAGGGAGCCATGTGGTCTAGCTGAGCAGGTCCCGCCCCCATGGAGTCCAGCAAACTAAAATCTACTGGCTTGAAATTCTCACTGCCAGCACAGCAGTCTGAAGTTGACCTGGGACTGTCAAGCTTGGTCGGGGGAGGGACATCTGCCATTACTGAGGCTTGAGTAGGCAGCTTTCCCCTCACAGTATAAACAAAACCTCCAGGAAGTTCAAACTGGGCAGAGCCCACCACCATTTGGCAAAACCGCTATAGCCAGACTGCCTCTCCAGATTCCTCTTCTCTGGGTAGGGCATCTCTGAAAGAAAGGCAGCAGCCCCAGTCAGAGGCTTATAGATAAAACTCCCATCTCCCTGGGACAAAGCACCTGGGGGAAGGGGCAGCTGCGGGCACAGCTTCAGCAGATTTAATGTTCCTGCCTGCCGGCTCTCAAGAGAGCAACAGATCTCCCAGCACAGCACTCAAGCTCTCCTAAGGGACAGACTGCCTCCTCAAGTGGGTTCCTGACCCCCATGCCTCCTGACTGGGAGATACCTCCAAGCAGGGGTCGACAGATACCTCATGTAGGAGAGCTCCGGCTGACATCTGGCAGGTGCCCCTCTGGGACAAAGCTTCCCAGAGGAAGGAACAGGCAGCAATATTTGCTGTTCTGCAGCCTCTGCTGGTGATACCCAGGCAAACAGGATCTGGAGTGGACCTCCAACAAACTCCAGCAGACCTGCAGCAGAGGGGCCTGACTGTTAGAAGGAAAACTAACAAACAGAAAGGAATAGTATCAACATCAACAAAAAGGACGTCTACACAAAATCCCCATCTGAAGGTCACCAACATCAAAGACCAAAGGTAGATAAATCCACAAAGATGAGGAAAACCAAGCACAAAAAGGCTGAAAATTCCAAAAACCAGAACGCCTCTTCTCCTCCAAAGGATCGCAACACCTTGCCAGCAAGGAAATAAAACTAGACCGAGAATGAGTTTGACGAATTGTCAGAAGTAGGCTTCAGAAGGTGGGTAATAACAAACTCCTCCGAGCTAAAGGAGCATGTTCTTACCCAATGCAAGGAAACTGAGAGCCTTGAAAAAAGGTTAGAGAAATTGCTAACTAGAATAACCAATTTAGAGAAGAACATAAATGACCTGATGGAGCTGAAAAACACAGCACGAGAACTTCGTGAAGTATACACAAGTATCAATAGCCATATCGATCACGAGGAAGAAAGGATATCAGAGACTGAAGATCAACTTAATGAAATAAAGCATGAAAACAAGATTAGAAAAAAAAAAGAAAAAAAGGAACGAACAAAGCCTCCAAGAAATATAGGACTATGTGAATAGACCAAACCTACATTTGACTGGTGTACCTGAAAGTGACGGGGAGAATGGAACCAAGTTGGATAACACCCTTCAGGATATTATCCAGGAGAACCTCCCCAACCTAGCGAGACAGGCCAAGATTCAAATTCAGGAAACACAGAGAACACCACAAAGATACTTCTCGAGCAGAGCAACCCCAAGACACATAATCGTCGATTCACCAAGGTTGAAATGAAAGAAAAAATGTTAAGGGCAGCCAGAGAGAAAAGTCCCACAAAGGGAAGCCTGTCAGACTAACAGTGGATCTCTCTGCAGAAACCCTACAAGCCAGAAGAGAGTGGGGGCCAATATTCAACATTCTTAAAGAAAAGAATTTTCAACCCAGAATTTCATATCCAGCCAAACTAAGCTTCATAAGCAAAGGAGAAATAAAATCCTTTACAGACAAGCAAATGCTGAGAGATTTTGTCGCCACCAGGCCTGCCTTACAAGAGCTCCTGAAGAAAGCAGTAAATATGGAAAGGAAAAACCAGTACCAGCCACTGCAAATACCAAATTGTAAAGACCATTGACACTATGAAGAAACTGCATGAACGAATGGGCAAAATAACCAGCTAGCATCATAATGACAGGATCAAATTCACACATAACAATATTAACCTTAAATGTAAATGGGCTAAATGCCCCAATTAAAAGACACAGACTGGCAAATTGGATAGAGTCAAGACCCATCAGTGTGCTATATTCAGGAGACCCATCTCGTGTACAAATAGACACATAGGCTCAAAATAAAGGGATGGAGGAATATTTACCAAGCAAATGGAAAGAAAAAAAAAAAAGCAGGGGTTGCAATCCTAGTCTCTGATAAAAGAGACTTTAAACCAACATAGATCAAAAGAGACAAAGAAGGGCATTACATAATAGTAAAGGGATCAATGCAACAAGAAGAGCTAACTATCCTAAATATATATGCACCCAATACAGGAGCACCTAGATTCATAAAGCAAGTTCTTAGAGACCTACAAAGAGACTTAGACTTCCACACAATAATAGTGGGAGACTCTAACACCCCACTGTCAATATTAGACAGATCAATGAGACAGAAAATTACAAGGATATCCAGGACTTGAACTCAGCTCTGGACCAAGTAGGCCTAATAGACATCTACAGAACTCTCCACCCAACATCAACGGAATATACATTCTTCTCAGCACCACATTGCACTTATTCTAAAATTGACCACATAATGTGAAGTAAAACACTCCTCAGCAAATGCAAAAGAACAGAAATTATAACAAACCGTCTCTCAGACAACAGTGCAATCAAATTAGAACTCAGAATTAAGAAACTCACTCAAAACCACACAACTATATGGAAACTGAACAACCTACTCCTGAATGGCTACTGGGTAAATAATGAAATTAAGGCAGAAATAAAGTTCTTTGAAACCAATGAGAACAAAGACACAATGTACCAGAATCTCTGGAACATAGCTAAATAGTGTTTAGAAGGAAATTTATAGCACTAAATGCCCACAGGAGAAAGCAGGAAAGATCTAAAATCGACACCCTAATATCACAATTAAAAGAACTAGGGAAGCAAGAGCAAACAAATTCAAAAGCTAGCAGAAGACAAGAAATAACTAAGATCAGAGCAGAACTGAAGGAGATAGAGACAAGAAAAACCCTTCAAAAAATCAATGAATCCAGGAGCTGGTTTTTTGAAAAGATTAACAAAATAGATAGACCGCTAGCCAGACTAATAAAGAAGAAAAGAGAGAATAATCAAATAGACACAATAAAAAATGATAAAAAGGGATATCAGCACTGATCCCACAGAAATACAAACTACCATCATAGAATACTATACACATCTCTACACAAATAAACTAGAAAATCTAGAAGAAATTGATAAATTCCTGGAGATATACACCCTCCCAAGACTAAATCAGGAAGAATTCAAATCCCTGAATAAACCAATAACAAGTTCTAAAATTGAGGCAGTAATTAATAACCTACCAACCAAAAGAAGCCCAGGACCAGACGGATTTGCAGTCAAATTCTACCAGAGGTACCACGAGAAGCTAGTACCATTCCTTCTGAAACTATTCCAAACAATAGAAAAAGAGGGACTCCTCCCTAACTCATTTTATGAAGCCAGCATCATCCTGATACCAAAACCTGGCAGAGACACAACAAAAAAATAAAATTTCAGGCCAATATCCCTGATGAACATTGATGCAACAATCCTCAATAAAATACTGGCAAACCGAATCCAGCAGCACATCAAAAAGCTTATCCACTATGATCAAGTCAGCTTCATCCCTGGGATGCAAGGATGGTTCAACATACACAAATCAATAAATGTTATCCATCACATAAACAGAACCAATGACAAAAACTACATAATTATCTCAATAGATGCAGAAAAGGCCTTTGATAAAATTCAACACTCCTTCATGCAAAGAACTCTCAATAAACTAGGTATTGATGGAACTTATCTCAAAATAGTAAGAGCTATTTATGACAAACCCACAGCCAATATCATACTGAATGGGCAAAAGCTGGAAGCATTCTCTTTGAAAACTGGCACAAGACAAAGATGCCTTCTCTAACTCCTATTCAACATAATATTGGAAGTTCTGGCCAAGGCAATCAGGCAAGAAAAAGAAAGAAAGGGCATTCAAATAGGAAGAGAAGAAGTCAAACTGTCTCTGTTTGCACATGACGTGACTGTATATTTAGAAAACCCCATCGTCTCAACCCAAAATCTCCTTAAGTTGATAAGCAACTTCAGCAGTCTCAGGATGCAAAATCAATGTGCAAAAATCACCAGCATTCCCATACACCAATAATAGACAAACAGAGAGCCAAGTCATGAGTGAACTCCATTCACAATTGCTATAAAGAGAATAAAATCCCTAGGAATACAACTTACAAAGGACGTGAAGGACCTCTTCAAGAAGAACTACAAATCTTTCCTTGAGCAGTGGCTCAAGGAAATAAGAGAGGACACAAATGGAAAAACATTCAATGCTCATGCATAGAAAGAATCAGTATCATGAAAATGGCCATACTGACCAAAGTAATTTATAGATGCAATGCTATCCCCATCAAGCTACCATTGAGTTTCTTCACAGAATTAGACAAAACTACTTTAAATTTCATATGGAACCAAAAAAGAGCCCGTATAGCCAAGACAATCCTAAGCAAAAAGAACAAAGCTGGAGGCATCATGCCACCTGACTTCAGACTATACAAGGCTACAGTAACCAAAACAGCATGGCACTGGTACCAAAACAGATATATAGACCAATGGAATAGAACGGAGGCCTCAGAAATAACACCATGCATCTAAAACCATCTGATCTTTGACAAACCTGACAAAAACAAGCAAGGGGGAAGATTCCCTCTTTAATAAATGGTGTTGGGAAAACTGGCTAGCCATATGCAGAAAACTGAAACTGGACCCCTTCATTACACCTCATACAAAAATTAACTCAAGACGGATTAAAGACTCAAACGTAAGACCTAAAACCATAAAAACCCTAGAAGAAAACCTAGGCAATACCATTCAGGACATAGGCATGGGCAAAGACTTCATGACTAAAACACCAAAAGCAATGTCAACAAAAGCCAAAATCGACAAATGGGATCTAATTAAACTAAAGAGCTTCTGCACAGCAAAAGAAATTATCATCAGAGTAAACAGGCAACCTCCAGAATGGGAGAAATTTTTTGCAATCTATCCATTGACAAAGGGCTAATATCTAGAAACTACAAGGAACTTAAACAAATTTACAAGAAAAAAACAACCCCATGAAAAAGCGGGTGAAGAATATGAACAGACACTTCTCAAAAGAAGACATTTATGCAGCCAACATGAAAAAAAGCTCATTATCACTGATCATTAGAGAAATGCAAGTCAAAACCATAATGAGATACCATCTCAGGTCAGTTAGAATGGTAATCATTAAAAAATCAGGAAACAATAGATGCTGGAGAGGATGTGGAGAAATAGGAACATTTTTACACTGTTGGTGGGAGTGTAAATTAGTTCAACCATTGTGGAAGAGAGTGTAGCAATTCCTCAAGGATCTAGAACTAGAAACACCATTTGACCCAGCAATCCCATTACTGGGTATATACCCAAAGGATTATAAATCATTCTACCATAAAGACACATGCACATGTATGTTTAATGCAACACTGCTCACAATAGCAAAGACTTGGAACCAACCCAAATGCCCATCAATGATAAACTGGATAAAGAAAATGTGGCACATATATACCATGGAATACTATGCAGCCATAAAAAGGATGAGTTCATGTCCTTTGCAGGGACATGGATGAAGCTGGAAACCATCATTCTCAGCTGGAAACCTCAACTAGCAGAGGAACAAAAAATCAAACATCACATGTTCTCACTCATAACTGGGAGTTGAACAATGAGAACACATGGACACAGGAAGGGGCACATCACACACTGGGGCCCATCGGGGGGTAGGGGGCTAGGGAAGGGATAGCATTAGGAGAAATATCTAATGTAGATGACGAGTTGATGGGTACAGCAAACCACCATGACACGTGTATACCTATGTAACAAACCTGCATGTTCTGCGCATGTATCCCAGAACTTAAAACATAATTTTTTTAAAAAAAGCAAGAGAATTCAGAATTTGATAGAATCTAAGAATAGATATTCAGGTCTCCAGGTAGAAAAACAAACATGAAACAGGGTGCCCACTCACTTTCTTAATAGGAAAGAAAGCTCAATTCAGATGTTTTAAGATGACTCAGGCCAGAGTTTAATGATTTACGATAAACAAACCATGCAAAGCAGAATCCTGTGCATTCTATCCAACAGGATCAGAGTATGGAAAAAAAACAGAATGGAAAATGATTTTTAAAATCTGACTTAAACTCACTTTTTTTTTTTTAAGACGGAGTTCTACTCTTGTTGCCCAGGCCAGAGTGTGCAATGGCGTGATCTCAGCTCACGGCAACCTCTGCCTCCCGGGTTCAAGTGATTCTCCTGCCTCAGCCGCCTGAGTAGCTTAGAATACAGGCGCATCCCACCACGCCCAGCTAATTTTTTGTATTTTTAGTAGAGACGGGGTTTCACCGTGTCAGCCAGGAAGGTCTCAATCTCCTGACCTCGTGAACCACCCACCTTGGCCTCCCAAAGTGCTGGGATTACAGGCATGACCACCACACCCGGCCTCTTTTCTGGTTTTTCTAACCATAAAAAGATTTAATCACCTCTTAAAAGTCACTTAAAAAAATCATACTAAACCAGCTACCTGTATGGCAGTATCCTGATTTATCCGGCTTGTATCAAACTTACCATATAAAAATATCAATCAAAGGAAACGGTGGCCACATTCAGTGACTCGGCTTTTGGAATTGCTCCTACCCCTCTGTAATGGGTCTATTCTTGGGCCACTACTAAGCTACCTTACAGTAAAGCATTTGAGTTTTAAGCATTTTCAGCAAAATCAGTTACTTTTTTTACAGGAACACATACGGTAGTAAGTCACAAACTTTGGAACAAAATATAAATTTTGTATTCACCAGTCAAGTGTTCTTGGATAAAACACAATCCCCGAGCCTCCATTCTCTCATTCATAAAGTGGAAAAATTTTATCATAGTGAAGGATTTCCCTAAGGTAAGCTGCAAACTATACCCTCTTCACTTTTCCAGTCAATTTTCAGGCATTCTTTCCATTGTTTTCTTTCCTCCTGTTCCTGGTATATGACAATGCATCACACACACACACACACACCCCAACAGACATTCTTCTTCCCTTTTCCTTCACCTTGAGCTGCAGATGCTCCCTTGTCCTCTCCCTCCTGAGCAGGTGCAGGATCCCGACTTTGATTTGCTGGTTCTCCTTCTTCAGGTTTTGGTGGTTCCCCTTCTTCATCACTGAACTGCTCGGACTAGGGAATATGTATGTATGTACAAATTTAAAAAAAAAAGTTTTGTTCATAAATGTCAATTATATGTACACAGAATACATAGATGTTTCTGACAATAACTAAGCCTAAAGACATTTCTCCAATTCTATTCTCTATGCTCAATAAGGTTACCCTACCCATAGAAAGGTTACTCTGAGAAAAGTTATCCACAAGTGATTATACTCTGTGTTGGAATAGATGTGTACAATTTGCCATTAACAAGCATGAAAAGGGAGTCATGGGCAAAAGCTGGAGAACACAAGAGAAAAAAAAATTATTCTGAATCAATGTTTCCTTCGTGAGACACCATATTCATTTTTTATCAGCATGAAAGACTTTTATCAGTGTATGTATAGTAATGCAACAACACTATCAAAAAGATTAATTTCTGCTAATAGAAAACATCGAATGTTAAAGCACTCACCAACATAGGCCCAATAACCTCAGGAGGTTCTACATTGAGTCTTGGTCTAGGCCGGTAGGTTGATCTTCCTCACCAACTCACATTTCACACTGCAAAAAGAAAACTGTGATTGCGAACATGCACCTGAGAGGATAGCTGTATTCGATCACTTCCATGGCTAAATGTTAACTTGTCATTTTGATTTTGAAAATATGTTCAAAATAAGTCCCAGAGTTAAGCATATGAGTGTACGTTTCCTGAGTGCTTGCAAAGCCACTTACGGTGGTCAAGCTGGCAGAGCAATCATCTTAAGGCGTGTGACAAAAGGCAGAGGACATTATTTTAAAATTTATTTTGGATGGGGGATCTCGCTCTGTTGCTTGAGCTGCAGTGCAGCGCCGTGATCACAGCTCACTGCAGCCTTGACCTCCCGCTCAAGCAATCCTCCCATCTCAGCGTCCCGACTAGTTGGAACTACAGGCACGCGCCACTACACCCCACTGACAGAGGGCATTTCTGATAAGGTTTAGTTTCACAAGTGGACTCCACATGAAAACACTAGTGAATCACAATTCCCGTGACTGCTGCTTTTGGCACACTCCCACTTACTAGGGCCATTCACCCCCTTAAATCAAGTTTGGTTGAACCACACAGCCTCACCCAGTCCTTCCCATTGTTTCTGGACCATCCATGGCGGAGGTGAGACCTTGCAATGCTTCTCACTCAGGCGCTACTCACTCCACACCACTAAGGGGTGCTCACCAGCCTGCAGCATTCCCAGGTTGCAGGCCTCTTCTTTGCGGCCCACCTCGCCTCTGCCAGGGGCCCCATTCAGGACTTAGGAATGTGCCCTGTGTCGGGGGTTCCCGGCACCTCGGGACTTCTATCCCTCCAACAGCACCCCCAGTACTCACCCATCTTCACCTGAGCCCCTGACCGCCTTCCCTCCACAGCCTACCTTACTCCCTGTCCTGGCCCCTTCACGACCACAAAGCTGATGGTCCGGTCGCAGACTGTGAGAAGGAGGAGGAGGATGACCTTGAGGCCCTTCTCCCTCAGAGGCCACGAGGCCCTTCTCCCTCAAAGGCCACAGACCATCACACCACGGGACCCACCGGACTCGCCTGAAGCCCACTGGCTCCTCCTCTCCCTCACTCACACTTCAACTTCCAGGAGGACTGGCCTGTGGACCTACCAGATGAATCTCAGTAGAGGAAAAAGTGTCCAGATGGCAGGAACGCTACTGCACACCCTCACAGCTCCCTGGCGTTCTCCACGTGGGCTAAGGGGCAGACGGGAAGACGCCCAGTGAACATGCGCACTGAGACAGGTGCCCAAGGAGCATGCGTGGCTACGGGGCAGGAGAGGGCAGCAGTTCCCAGTCCCACACCCGAAACCTCCGATTCCCATCCCCATTGAGGATAATGGAATCCGACCTCCCTCTGCTGTTTCCTATGCCTCTGGGACTCAAATACCTCAGACAGTGCTCCCCTCAAAACTCACCCCATCTTCAACTGAACCCCCTTCCCCTCCAGGGCTCTCTCTTGCCCTGGCCCCACCATGGTGACAAGGACCATGCTGGCTGCCTGTGAAGAGAGGTAAACCACCTGTTAAAACAGAAATACCAACTTACCCCATAACATTTACACAAGATCAAGAGTCTCATAACCTGATATTCAAAATGTCCAGCATGTAAATTGAAATTACTCAGAATATGAAAAACCAGGAAAATAGGGGAACTCAAATGGGGAAAGACAATGCACCAACACCAATGCTAAATAGACATGTTGGGATTATCTGGCAAAGCCTTTAAAGATGCTATTTTTAAAATGCTTAAACAAGCAATCATGAACACTTTTGAAACAAGTAAAAACAGAAAGCCCTGGCACAAAAAAAGAATATTTAAAGAAGAAACAAATGGAAATTTTAGAAGTGGAAAATATAATAACCATGGAAATAAATTCTCACTGAATGAATTCAGTAGCAGAATGGAGGCAAGAAAAGAGTTTGTGAACTCAAAGAGATAAATAGAAATCGTTCTATCTGGCCAAGAGCAGTGACTTTTACCAGTAGTACTAGTATTTTTGCAGGCTGAAGTAAGAAGATAGATGGCTTGAGGTTAGGCGTTTGAGACCAGCCTGGGCAACATAGTGAGACTCATCTCTACAAAAAAAAATAGATAAATAACAACAGCCCAGGCCCAGTGGCTCACGGCTGTAATCCCAGCACTTTGGGAGGCCAAGGAGGATATATCACCTGAGGTGAGGAGTTCAAGACCAGCCTGGCCAACATGGTAAAACCCTGTCTCAACAAAAATTACAAAAATTTAGCCAGGCATGGTGGTAGGCACCTGTAATCCCAGCTACTAAGTGAATGAGGCAGGAGAATTGCTTGAACCTGGGAGGCAGAGGTTGCAGTGAGCTGAGATCATGCTGCTACACTCCAGCCTGGGTGAAAGGAGCAAGACTCTGTCAAAAAAAAAAAAAAAAAAAAACCTTTAAAAATAGCTGAGTGTGATGATACATGCCTGTAGTCCTAGCTACTGTGAACACCAAGAAGGGAGGATCCCTTGAGCCCAGGAATTCAAGGCTGCAGTAAGCTATGATCTCACCACTACACTCCAACGTGGGCAACAGAGTGAAACTCAGTCTCTAAAACAAAAAGAAATTGTTCAATATGAACAAGTCAGAGAAAGAGACTGACAGAAAAATGAATACAACCTTAAGGACCTGTAAGAAAATGCTAAAACATCTATCATTTGTAGCATCAGAATCGCAGGAGAAGTGAAAGTGTTATGTAACCAGGAGCCTAGGACAGCCAGAGTGACACCATTTTAAAATCAACTCCATCATGAAACTAGCAAGGCACATTCCTGGCCAGTCACAACACATGGTCCTAAGATGTTTGTAGTTGAGAAAACAGACTAAAGATACCTACAAAGACATACTCCCACAGCAGTGGAAAGTCCAGGGTTCCCAACATCCATAACAATATACGCTTTCAAAATAATTATAGTTATGCTTTGATGTACTTACACACTAGAAAGTCAAGGATAGTTTTCTTTAAATCAATAGAATGATAAACTTCATCATGCTGTTAGCCCACCACACAGAGGTACAGATAACTTTAGTCTTTACATAGACAAGACCCCTATATAAGAAACACACTAGGCCAAGGCTCACGCCTGTAATCCCAGCACTTTGGGAGGCTGAGGTGGGCAGATCGCCTGAGCTCAGGAGTTCAAGACCAGCCTGGGCAACATGACAAAATCTCATCTCTACAAAAAAAAAAGAAAAAAGAAAAATTAGCTGGGCATGGTGGCATGCACCTCTAGTCCCAGCTACTCAGGAGGCTGAGGTGGGAGGATCACTTGAGCCCAGGAGGTCAAGGCTACAGTGAGCCAAGATCGCACCACTGAACTCCAGCCTGGGGGACAAAGCGAGACCCTGTCTCAAAAAGAAAAGAAAAACTTAAAACAAAGATAGTGCATTCCTCTGCTTCCTTTCTGGGGACACCCTTCTCTGTAATGGACTAGTTTTCAATAAGTTATCTCTTTTTTTTTTTTTTTTTAAGGAGTTTGGCTTTTGTTGCCCAGGCTGGAGCACAATGGCACGATCTCAGCTCACTGCAACCTCTGCCTGCCAGGTTCAAGCAATTCTCCTGCCTCAGCCTCCCAAGTAGCTGGGATTACAGGCACCTGCCACCACGCCCAGCTAATGTTTTTATATTTTTTTGTAGAGACGGAATTTCACCACATTGGCCAGGCTTGTCTCGAACTCCTGACCTCAGGTGATCCACTCACCTCGTGCTCCCAAAGTGCTGGGATTACAGGCGTGGTGGCTCACGCCTGTGATCGGGACCCCTTTTTCTGGTAACGCAAGTATTTGATTAAACTTACATATATTTGACCAGGCCTGTGGCTCACACCTTTAATCCAAGCACGTGGGGAGGCTGAGACAGGATGATTACTTCAGCCCAGGAGTTCAAGACCAGACTTGACAACAAAATGAGATCTCACTTCTATAAAAGAAAAAATTGGCCGGGCACAGTGGCTCACGCCTGTAAACCCAACACTTTGGGAGGACGAGGTGAGTGGATCACCTGAGGTCAGGATATGTATATATATAGAGAGAGAGATAGATATAGATATAGATATTCATTCATTCATTAAAGCATTGTGTGATGGGATTTCAAGGTATGTGGATATAATGTATAAGATAATTATAATATAATTACATAAATATAAAGGCAGGAAGACTAAAGAGACCTCTATGATGGTAAGGTTTCTACCTTCCATGTGAAATAGTAAAAGATTTATTCTAAGTAGTCAGTCAATGAAGAGTTAAGTTTGTATATTTTAATTCCTAGATAATGAATCACATTAAAAAGTATATAAAAAGATAGAGTCAAAACACAATAGATAAAATAAAAAGAAATACTTCAAAATGTTCAGGCCGGGTGTGGTGGCTCACACCTCTAATCCCAGCACTTTGGGAGGCTGAGGCAGAGGACTGCTTGAGCCCGGGAAGTTCTTAGGTTGCAGTGAGCCCTGATCATGCCACCGCACTCCAACCTGGGCAACAGAGCAAGACCTTCTCTCAAAAAAAAAAAAAGAGTTCACAATTGTAGATATTTTTATTAAAATTTTTAAAAAGAAAAGAAAAAATGTTCAAATAACCCAAAGGAAAGCAAGAAAGCAGAAAGAAACAGATAGTCTGAATAGATTTGTATCTAGTAAAAACTGAATTCATACTTGAAAACCTTTTTTAATAAAGAGAGAAGTTGCTGAATGTTGCTGGCCCCAGAAAGAAAAATTTAAACAGAAAAAGAAAAAAAAAAAGAATTTGCAACAATGAGATACCACTATACACCTAGTAGAATGGCCAAAATCCAGAACACTGACAACACCAAATGCTGGTGAGGATGTGGAGCAACAGGAACTCTCATTCACTGCCGGCAAAATGCAAAATAGTACAGTCACTTTGGAAGACAATTTGGTGGTTTCTTTAAAAACTAAACATAGTCTTACCATACCATATAGGAATCATGCTCCTTGGTATCTACTGAAAGGAGCTGAAAACGTACATCCACACAAAAGCCTGCACATGCATGTTTGTTTATTTATGTTTCATCTTCTAGTCTATACCTTTGCAAACACACAGATGTTTGAAGTAGCTTTATTCATAATTGCCAAAACTGGAAAGCGAACAAGATGACCTTCAGTAGGGGAATGGATAAGTAAGATATGGTATATACAGAGAATGGAATATTATTCAGCACTAAGTAAAAATGAGCTATCAAGCCATGAAAAGACATAGAGGAAACTTAAACGCATGTTACTAAGTGAAAGATACACACTATATGATTCCAACTATATATGACATTCTGGAAAAGGCAAGACTATGGAGACAGTCAAAAGATCAGTGGTCACTGGGAGTTAGAGGGGAGGGAGGGATGAATAGGCAGAACACAGAGGATTTCAGGGCCGTGAAATTACTCTGTATTATACTATAAAGGTGAAAACATGTCATTATACAGTTAAGCCAACCCATAAAATGTACAACACTAAGAGTGAACCCTCATGTAAACCGTGGTCTTGGGGTGATAATGATCAATTGTAACAAATGCTCCACGCTGATGAGGGTTGCTGATAATGGGGAGGCTGTGCATGTGTGGGGGTGAAGGGTATACGGGATATCTCTGTACCTTCCTCTCAGGTTTACTGTAAACCTAAAACTGCTCTTTAAAACAAAATTTTTTTAAGCCTTTTTTAAAAAGAAGAAGATGATAAAGTTGCCAGGTCCAGATGGTTTCACTGGCAAATTGTGTCAAACATCTAAGAAGAAATAATACCAATTCTACAAAATCTCTTCAAAAAATAAAAGACAGAAACACTTCTCAAATAGCATTATCCTGATACCAAAACCAGAAAAAAGAAAGTATGGGAAAAGTACAGTCCAACTTCCTTCATGAACATAGATGCAAAACATAAGAAAACCCTCAACATAATATTACCAATTCAAATCCAATGTACAAAAATAAGACACCATGACCAAGTGAGGCTTATCCTGGGGATGCAAAACTGACATAATATTCAAAAATCAATGTGGCCGGGTGCAGTGGCTCATGCCTGTAATCCCAGCACTTTGGGAGGCCGAAGTGGGCGGATCGCTTGAGTCCAGGAGTTCGAGATGAGCCTGGCCAACATGGGGAAACCCCATCTCTACTAAAAATACAAAAATTAGTTAAGCATGGCAACACACACCTGTAGTCCCAGCTACTTGG